ATTTTTATATACTTTACACATGTCCATGAATTTATTAGACTCATACATTATACTTTCTACATTATAAATGTATTAATTCATACATTTTTTAAATTTATACAAATATTTTTTTGCTCTATCTTCACAGCCCTGATGAAAGGGGAATTTTCTGGTGTTTTCTCTGTGACTAAAGGTTTGATCCTAATTCCTATTGTACAAAAAGAACAGAAGGGCTCTGTTTCTGTGAAATCATCCATACAAGCTGGTTTTTGACCTACCATTGTGAGTACCATTGTAATTTTACCTTTGTGTCTTTTAAAATAAAAATAATCTGCACTAGGTTGGGCGTCCTTCTGTTCTTTTTGTATTCCAGTTCTACAGTTCCCCCCGGCTGAAGTGGGGCAGCACACCTAGTAATCTTACACATACAACACTCAATTACCAGGATCCGTTCATAGCGCTTTGACTATACTACACTCGTCTAATTCCTATTGTGATAAATGTATTTCTGGACAATTACTGCTTGGTATGGTGCTCTAAACTGAGATCCCCAGTCCCTGATTGGATAGTGAAGAAGCAGCAAAGTAATTACCCCACTTTTCTGTCACTTTGCTCTCTCTTCCTGACAGCAACATTTTTGTGAACATATACATACTGTAGCACAGCTGACTGGCTTCTTCCGCTTCTTCTTCCCCTCCCAGTCTAAACTTTGTGGTGCAGGGACTGAAAGAGACTCATACCAAGTCAAATTTAGGTACTTCCACAAGTTGCTTAAAAAAAACACTTAATACATAAATTTTGAAAACAGAGAAAAATAAATAAATACTGGTTTACAGCTACATAGTTTAAAAATATAATAAACTAGATGATGTCAGTTCCCCTTTACATAGTAAAATGTTGCTTATGCTGTCATCTTTTGTTGGAGGTTTACTCACACAGCAAATGCCTTACAATTACATAGTTACATAGTATTTGAGGTTGAATAAAGATACAGGTCCATCAAGTCCAACCTCTGTGTGATTGTGCATTTTCCCGATATCAATAATAAACAGATTAAACAGCATGGGGGCCTAGCACAGAATCCTTGGGCACGCCACTCTCCACCATAGACCAATCTGAAAAAGAGCCATTTATCAATACTCTCTGGACACGTTCCTCTTCTCCAGTTCTCTATCCATGTACACACCATTTCATCTATGCCCAAAGATCTCAGCTTGTGTACTAAGTGTTTATGTGGTACTGTCAAAAGCTTTGGCAAAATCCAGATATACCACATCCACCGACTTCCCTCTATCCAGATCTCTACTCGTCTCTCCGTAGAATGTCAGTAGGTTGGTCTGACAAGAACGATCCCTCCTAAATCCATGCTGATTATCACTTCTTATACCATTACCGTGGACAAAATCCACTAAATAGTCCTTTATCATCCCCTCAAATAGTTTGCATACTATTGATGTTAGACTGACTGGTCTATAGTTCCCAGGTTGGCATCTTGAACCTTTTTTGAATATTGGTACTACTGTAGCTATCGCCAGTCACTTGGTACCTTACCAGTCATTATGGAGTCCTTGAAGATGAGGAATAATGGTCTTGCTATAACCTGGCTGAGTTCTTTAAATACCTTGGGGTGCAGGTTATCTGGCCCTAATGATTTATTTGCATTAAGGTTTTCAAGTCTTTGTTGAACCCTGGCTACTGTCAACCATCGCGGGATTTTATGGCCTATTCACATTCTTATCTCCATTAAACCCGTCTTTTTCCTGAGTGTATTTCGAGGAGAAAAATTAATTCAATAATTCAACCTTCTCCCTATCATTTGTGATCTCCCGTTTTCATCATTTATTGGGTGCGACCTGCTCTTTTATTAGAATTTTTTGGGGTTCTTTTTACTGACTGTGGCGATATGCTTTTCATAATCTATTTTATCTGCCCGGATTTCATGTTTACATCTCTTACTGCATTCCTTGTAGCTCTGGATTGCCAATGAGGTATCATGCATGCTTTTTTTTTACAGTAATACTGCTATCTACACCAAGAATGATCCAGTGCCTGATGGTGCATTCTGATTATGTTAAACAGGTAGGTCCTTTCCTTCATCCTAGCACCTAGGTCTCTGAACTCCTGTTTAAGGACACTCCAGTAGGATTCTTAGCATAGACAACAATAGATCAGCATTATACTGTTGGAAGGTTACATGTAGGTTATTGACTTGGGATGGACAGAGCATACTGAAAGCTCTTATAGGCCATTTCCAGGCAAATATTAACCCCTTCCCACCCCCTCTAACCTATCCTGCACATTTTTATTTCTTACATCATGGAGAAATATACTCGCCTAAGTCTGCTGTCTGATTCCCTTGCTGGAGCCATTTCCGGGTGCAGAGCACCGCTAACCTAGTGCCAGAGATGTGCCCATGCTGGCCAATTCCTGACAATCCCATTGTGCTGGCATCACAGCTGCAAACTCCTCTACTGTATCCTGAGAGGACTCTGAGACTTGACAGCCAACATAAAGTGTCCATGTCAGGGACTTGGACAACTGAAGAAGGACCCTCCCTTCTGTAAACAGAAGAAGAAGACTAGGGACTGGAGTAAAAAAAAAACAACCCAGTGATAATCTGCAGTAGCTCCTAGTAACCAGACTATGTTTTTTGTTTTGGTACAAATGGAAGAGTGATTACTGGCTGGCTTCTATCAGTTATGACATGGTCAGAATGGGCTGGCATAGTGAGCACCTGAAAGCTGCTGCAGGTATGTGCAGGCACCTCTAGGTATATGTACTTTATACCTGTAAGCTGCCTTTTTGTTAAAGTGACAGTGCGTCTTTAATAGAGTCCTGGAATAATTTTCACCTGCAGAACAAATTATCTTTGATTTGAAGGGTCGGCACTCCCAATATATATTAAATTTTATGGCTGCCAGTGAGCAATTGAATTGTGTGCACTAGCATCCAGAGGAATATCTAGCTAGATTTCTTTGAATATTTGGTTGTTCCATTGATATTTACAAGCCCTTTGCCTTCTATATTTGTCTCCCTAATTCTACACTCTTGTGATAAGTGATCCTTTTGCACATGTTTTTTGTGCTTCAAACTTTGCACTGTATCCAGCGTTGCAGAGTTGTAATGATTGCATGCCAGTGTTGTGAGAAAGTTTTGTTATACAATAAAAGCTGGTCCTTTTGAATTATTGGAACTCAATTGCGAAATACAAATATCTTCTAGTATAATAAAAAAGTGCACATGGAATATTCATTGTAGGTTAGACCTCATAAGATTAACACTTTAACTCCTTTTCCCACTGTGACCGGTAATTGAGCGAAACACTTTTTTATGTTACTAGCAATTTACTAAGTCATTTTAAATATATTACCAGTAATATTACCATTGTGGAAAATCTCAGATAAGACACGAATATGTAGGAAACTGTAGCAAGGAGTAGGAAAGTGACACTTCAAGAAGGTTTTTGTAATAAATCTGAAGCAGTTTGTGTTGATTTGTGTAAGGAGTAAAAATAATGCACAAAGTGGTGGCACACTTTGCCAATGAAACCTTATACTCATGAAAGTAGAAGCTAAAGTCAATGAAGAAAGAATATTCGCATCGTGCACAAAATAGTTTAGTATTTTTTTTTATTTTTCTAAAAAAAGGTGTGAAGATTGTGTGTCTAAGTGAGACTAACACCGTGAGTGTGAATAAAACTCACTAACACAGCCTAATATAGTTGGAATAAAATTGTTTGCTAGGCTTTTTTTTAAGGGAAGCTCTTTTTTTCTCTAAGGTTTATAACTTTTAACCTGATTCTGTACATTTATTTACTATATGTACAGTATATAATCTTTGTTTTGCAAATCACCATATCATACACGACAAAGGATTCCCAGAGCACTAGCAATCATTTAAAGCAATGAAAACAGCAGTAGTTATCTGCCTTTTGGATTGCTTTTTCTGACAGAAATCTCAGACTGAGCTGCTCAAAGAGTAATAAATTATTGCTCTGACTCATTCACTGGCATGTAAAAAAAAAGCCTGTGCTATAATGCTATGTAAACAACAAACATTTTACAGGTGGACAAAAGACAACATGTAAAAAGAAGCTTAAAGCTCCACCTGTTGGCTAAAAATAAGAATACATAGTTAATATGCAATGTTTCATATTAATATTGGCTAAAAAAATTACATTTGCATTTTATATTTGTATTTTTTAGCCCTAGACATAATGAAATAAAGAAAATACTATATACAAAAAAACTATACATTCTCTTTTTTTTCTAAAACAAACCCCCCCCCCCCAAAAAAAAAAACCACATAACTAATAGTACAGTAGTTGTATTTTTTCTGCAAATTAGTGATAGTGATACTGGAAATTTTGATTTTCCTAATATGCATTTAATATTGTAGAGTTAAAACACAATCCTGTCTATCATCTGCTGTGTGTGTGTATGTAACAATGGGCAAGTTGCTCTCAGCATATGATGTTGTAAGAGGTGATAATACACATTTTTTTACAACCATCACTGCCACCATGTTAGCAAATACCTGCCAGAACTACAAATCATGAGGATCATAGCAAAGCCTGATGGTCCTCTCCCACTTCCTAGTTTGGAGAGGTGGGTTTAAAGGAGAACTATGAGGTGAGTGAAAATCACTCTAGTTCGAGCCGACGTGACAATGAAACTGTCACACGTCGAGTCAATAGATCGGGAAGTGAGCGAACGTATACCGTCGCTCGCTCACTTCACGATCATCTCCCTGCAGAGAGCGGTGACTGCCAGTCACCACTCCTCGTGGGGAATTCTCCTCGATCCTCCAGCGCTGACTGGAGGAATGGACGGGCGGAGGTGGGTACAGCTGGCTCTGCCTCTAGATAGGCAGAGCCAGTTGTCATTCACACAGCTGGGTGGTTCTCAACAGCATTGTCAGGATCTGTCCCGGCTGTGTTGGTCTCAGTATACCGCGAGTTGTAGCTCGCGATATACTGAGTTTTGGGTCACGGGAGGATGCTAGTATATGTCCTCCCGTGGCCCTTAAGAGAACTATGGGGAAAAACACTTACCCCATAGTTCTCTTTTAAGCTGTGTACAAAGTTTGACAAATGCCATTTGGAGAAAGATTGCCCTGGAGAGAGTGAGAGAATGCCATGGAAAAATTAAGTGACTGCTTTTAGTGTGACACACTGCCTTGAAGAGGCTGGCATGGAGAGTAGGGATGTTCAGATACCAAGTACCATACTTGGTACAACTACATGTACTGATACTTTTTCAGCTCCAAGACTAGACTAGAGAAAAACTCAAAAGTTAGGAGGCAGCTGTCATTTTTAAGGAGCATTGGCTACAGGCCGCCTGTGATTTGTGTATCTCTGTTTTTTCCAGACCGAGTATAAGTACTGATACTTGTCCAAGTACTTACAGATACCAATTACTGATACATTTTTGTTTAGTGTCATGTGACAGTTTTTCTAAAATAATGCAGACTAATGGTTTCTGGATGGTGGTGGAACACCAGGGCCCAGTCGCAGCTGCAACCACTGCAACCCTGGTAGTTCTCGTAAAAATGGCAAGTATCGGCACTGGTATCTGAACATCCCTAGTGGAGAGAGAAACAAACTGGCCTGAAGAAAGAAATTGGCTAGCTCATGTGATGTAAAGAGCTTTGAGTGGACTCTTACTGTTTTATTCCCAGCTATATTGGACTCCATAAACCCAATCAGGGAACCTGTGATGTAATTTTTTTGGGGACTGTATCTCTGTAGTTGGTCTAGCTTGAGAAACAGCCCTAGTACAATATCCACTGCAGACTTAAGATTTTTAAAGCAGTGCCATCCACTTCTCACCCCACACACCATGCTCTGGTGGGTCCCTCCCTAGCTGCTTTGGCTGTAGCAGTGCCATCCACTACCCACCCCACACACCATGCTCTGGTGGGTCCCGCCAAGGCTGCTTTGGTTGTAGCCATGCTCTTGTCAGTATGGCAAAAAGTGAAAATGTGATAATAAAACATTGTACTTACTAGAGTATAATTCTACAAAGAGCAGCAAATAAAATTATAACTGAAATAAAAAGCACTAAGGCCCCTTTGAGACGGGCTGATCAGGAGAGGATCCGTGCATGGATCCTCTTCTAATCAGAGCAGTATGGAGCAGATGTTACCATTGTGACATCCATGTCCGTATAGTTTTTTCCTCCATCTTGGGATGGAGGAAAAAACTACAATTACAGGACCGCATTTCTGTCTATTGGGAATCAGATGTATATGTGTCCATTTACATCAGGTTACCACCAATCCGGCATGATGCGAACCAGCAAGATGGAACACTGTTCCGTATGTTTTTCCGGACCTGGCCAGAGTTGGGGGTAACCGGGTGTAAACGGATGCCCGTCCATTTACACACGCAGCCCATAGACTTACATTGGGCATCCGATCGGGTCCGCTTAAAAAAATGACAGGCAGACCTGATTGGACCACCCTTGTGAAAGGGGCCTTACTGTGACTACCTTCTGTAAAAGCACTGAGCCAAACTGGTGTTTATATATGTATGATGACAACAATGAGCAAAAATAAAAACATTGTGACTAGCAATGAGGAATGTTTTGAGCAGCACACTAATGTATTAAGGTCCATAGATGGTGAGTTGAAATTAGCAGCATGAATAGCGGTGACTACTCTGAGCAGTACTCCAGCACCAGAGTTCCTTTCGGTTACAAATGCACCTAGAGATGCATGAACATGTGCCTCTACATATAGCAGGGGTGTTCCTCATGACACAATATCCAGTTGGTTGTGTGACAGGTTGGGATTTTAAAGGGAAGGTTAAGAGGGATGCAAAGCCCAAAAAATATTACACTGGTGCTAAAATACAAGACAAACGTTTGCAAATATCTATTTGGATAGTTATTTTCTATTAGAGGGGTGCAAAAAACTTGGCCGAAACATAGGCTTAAAAACTACCAGAGATCTAGAGGCTCCATATACTTCTAATGTAACACTTTGTGCATTTTCAAGATGTAGTTTTTACTAGTGTACACATTTTTAGGTACCAGAATAATAAAGGCAGTCAATTGTACAATAGTGACCAATGTGACTAAAGTTATCTTTAGAGTCTGAGTCAGTATGTAAAGATAACACTTTTTCTAATGCATATAATCTTCCATTTGCACTTTCTAATGAAATTCACATAAGACAGAGCTAAGTGAACCAGTTTATGTAAATGCAGACTTGCCCAGGATTAAGCCCACTCAACAGGTTATGAAATGTTAGGGGAATGCCAATAAAAAAGCATATGTGTTCATTAATGTTTTATGTGCCGTCCTATGATAATCTCCTGGTGTGTGGAGCAGAAATGGCTTTAGTGATAGAATACAGAAGACTGCTGTGGCTAGTTCACTGGCAGGTTGCAGGGAAAAGGAGGAAAGTGCGGGGGAGGGCACTGGACAAGAACATGTTAAAATATTGAATAGATGAATGGGATGGTTGTAAAATTAATGGTTGGGCCTCCATTTAGCTTTAAGGGGATTACATCTGTAAAAGAAAAGTGAACATGATCATACAACATTAGATTAATTTAATTCATTTAATGTGTTTAAAATTTGTTTAAACTCACAGGCGTTGATGGTAGAACCCATGACCCACTTTATGCTTTTCTTCATCTACTGACTGCCTCAAACTTGTATTTTAAAGGGAACACACATAATCTAGAGGATTCTAGAGGCAATACAGCCTACAAAAGTTTAAGGATTCAGTAAACAAAGAAATAAGTGGACCCTACTTATTACATTCTGACCCAACCTTTCACCTGCAGCACCTAGGCTAGAGCAACATCACAGTTCACAGTCCTTTCAGCAAGTTTCTGAGAAAGTTGAGGATACCGAATCTCAAGGGAAGGCACTCCTGCAGGAATGTCTTCTCACAAGATTTGGGATCCTTATTACCAAAACCTCACCAGGAGGACTGTGAGGCCCCACTCGTACCATAGTGTTGTGCCAAAGGCACCAGAAACCATTCTGTTGCAATACAGTGCAATGTTATGGTGTGAACGGGCCCTGATGTCACTCTCTCAAGTATGGAACCAGGGTATAAAGTAAAACATGTTTTTATAACTTTTCTACACGGGTGTTTTTTCAGCTTTAATGCAGCAATTATACATGTGGAGCTGGGCTGCAATGTAATAAGTGGGCCGTGCATTATAGTGCAAGGTCTGATTTGTATTGATCACAATACAGTTGAATATGTTACTATAGTTACAGTATATTATAATATAGTATATTATAACATAAAATCATAATATAGTATATTATTATATATTTTATATAGAAGCACTTTTCCAAGACCATGCAATTTATAATTACCGTAAAGCCATAAAATGAAAAGACACAGAGGGATGCTTTTATCTAGATTGTTTCCATAGGCCTATCCAGGGTAATCGCTGGGGGAGAAGGGCAATTAAAATCTATACTACTTTGAATTCCATTTACATACAAAATATGCTTTTTTTACCTTCATCTCCTTTAACTGACTTGTGACACCTTGATCTTCTGAACTGAGATCATCTGTCAGTACTGAAGAGGACTTGTCAGAGGTTAAAGAAAAGGCCTCCATTTCTGCCAGCTGGACCTAAGCAAAATCATTATTAGTGATACGGATTTGTGAGTTAACCCGTTCAAACATTGTATTTGTTGTGTCCTGCTTAGCATACAATCTCTGATTACAGAATTAAGCTTCTGAAAGCTTTAGTTAAATCACTTCTGACTGTTATGTCTACGGGAGAGCAGGTATTTTATTCTAATACAATATGCTAATCCCGCAGTGCACAAAGTCAATACATTTAATAAGCAATGCACAAAAGCCAACGGTGTTTGTAGATAAACCTATTGTGATACCCGCAGGATGGTTCATCTCCAGGAGAGAACAGTGGCTTAGCACGGTTAGCAACTAAGAGCAGAATCAATCAATACACATTGCAGCTACGTTAATTGGCAATTACACCAACACTTTACACATTGCTGTTGTGTTTTTTTTAATGGACATCATTCATCAAACAGTGGTAATATACTACAAGATGACAAACCTAAATGTGGATAATTAGAATTTTAACATCACCTTGCAACAGTCTGTATGTTAGGCCAAATTAATGCTGCAAATTAATTAAATAGGCTTGGCTTTTAATTCCTGTGTAAATACAATACAACATCTCATATTATTGGCTAGATACTGAAATGTTAATTCTGTGTAATGTAATTTTTTTATGCAGGGCTTGAGATAAAAAAAAAATAATGCTCCTCGTGGGAAACTGTTCATTTTTAATATAATTCCTAGTCCAAAATTTCACCCAAGCACAGAAAATTTTCCAAATGTCATTCCAGCAGGAGACAGCTGTGTAAGTGGGAATCCCATGGGTTTTGCTGTCCGGATAAAAATTAGATATTTAATTTGTAAAAATGGATAGCTTATCTTTAAAAATTGTCAAACATATAGCTGACATGAATAAACTATTAAGGTTGGAAGATTAATTAATATACCAATAAATGTATCTAGATGTATTTACTTTAAGTGCTGTAAAGGTACACAAAAGGGCCACTTTATAAGCATATTAAAATGTGTTCTCTAGTTTGTTATTAACACGTGTGGGTGTATCCAAATCATCCACATTTTGTGTGGCCACCCTAATAAAATAGGCTGCACATGCCTGTGGTAGTATATTAATAAAAACAGAAGGAGACTAAAGGACTCATTAGAGAGGAAAGAGCTGTGTCCTCCAATGAACTACTAGAGAAACAGTGAGTACAAAAAAATCCTATTTTCCCAGCATTCACTGGAGGACACAGAAATAAACCTTTTAACATGTGGGATGTTCAAAAGCATTTTCAAAAAATTAAGGGCAGGCAAGGGTGCAAAAAAGGCAGTTACTCCCTGGTGACAAATAACACTGCTGTCTGCAAAGTTAGCATCCACTGATGAATACACATCTGCCCTGTAGAATTGAATATAGGTGTGGATGGAAGACCAGACAGCAGTCTTACTGACCTGGGAAGGAGAAGCCTGGTGATAAAGGCCCAATAAGTGCTCAAGTCACCATTAAAGTAGAATGAGCGGCAATAGGGAACTTTAAGCACTTGTCCCTTCAGGAAATATGCCTGAGAAATAATCCCCAAATTCATCTGGTTATAGCCTTACTGGATGCCACAGAACCCCTCCAGAAAGACTAAGAGAATTGGTTCTTGGTTCTTCAAAGGGGGCCTTTGAAGAACCAAGTAGAGACCCCATAGAGAAAGTTGTGACTTGACAAGAGGGTTTAGTATTATCCTGCATACAAATATGAAGAAAGGAGTGGGCATAGGACTGCTAAGTCTAATATCTGAGCCTCAAAGACCAGTTCTGGGAACTCTTGCCCACACTGCATGACTTAAATGCTAATTTGGCTAGGGAGGGACAAGTACTTATACTTGCTTTATTCATCGCTCCTCACAGGTTTTTTCCTCCGCTTCACTTTGTTGCCCAGCCAGTCTCAGCTCCCCAATGTTATCACATTCAATGCAAGACCAGCAGTCGTGTATTGTATGAGAGAACCGCAAGGGCCTGCCCACAACCCAAGGCATTGAACAGTGGACAAGAGTGCTGGCTGCTGGGGGAGAGAGGAATAGGGTAAGTATGTGTTTTTTCCTTTCATCTTCTAGCTAAACCAGCATTTAACCAGTGGGGGAAGAGGAATCTGTCAACTCCTGTATTGTCTGTCGAGAGCTGACACTGAAATGTGTTGAAATGTGCTCCATTTTTCTAACTGTCTCCAAGTATTTTGTGCCAACTTGCTGAATGTACACTTTCGCAGTAGCATTTTCAGGCTGTTTTTTCAATGATTAACCCTTTAAAACAGTGGGTCTGGTGCAGCAGAGAAAGCCCTATGGCTCTTAATTTCAACAGGTTGATCTGCAGTCTTTCCAGCCACAGAGGCTCCTCTCTGTGGTAAGGATTCTATAGTGGTGATGCAGGAAGCACTTGCTCAGGGTCAATATCAGTGATTGCAGCCACCACAACAGGTCTGAGAGAGAGTTCACTGTCCATGGAAAGTGGGGTATCCATGGAAAGTAGCTGTCTTATCTAAACAATATCGCCAGTTAAAGGGTTCTGGTGTAAAATTGGGCAAATAACTGCCTCAAAAAATTAGTCCATGACCCCCAGAACCCTGCATAGAGAGTTGCTTGCTTGTGTTGAATAAACTTTTGCCAATCCAGTATCCAGGGTGAAACCTAAGCCAGGCATAGCATTGAGTGCAGTGAGACCTTCTGTAGGTTTAGGTTTGAGCCAAAATCTTTCAGAGTTCATAAGGTAATTTACAAGCTGGTCCCCAGCTTTGTAGCTGTAGAAGCCCTGATGACCAAGTAATTAAGATAAGCCATCAACAACATGCCCCTGGTTCTTAACAACGCTAGGATTGGTGCAAGTCTTTGATGAAATCTCAAGGAGCAGTAGTTAGCGCTAAGGAAGAGGCATGAATTAGTAAATTAGACGTTGTAGTCCCCTACTGCAAGGGACTTAAAATGCCAATGGGAATGGTGAAAAGGTTAGAATAAAACCAACTTAATCATTCTTGAAATGCAAAGCCCACAATTACTCCCTGCAATGCAGGCCCCTGTATGGCTTAGAACAAGGTCACAGCACACTGGGGGAAAAAAGAGTAATTTGAACTTTAAAAAAACTGCTTTAGGGGAAAGATTATTTCAATTTTGCATGCAATAGATACCACCAATCACAGTCCACAATGGTCAGCAAACATACCCGCACCCTGTTGTTGGCAGGTGGGATCAAACTTCTATGCAGTGGATCCAGAAGTGAGACAAAAAGTATTTCTTTTAGAAAGAGTAGACTTGATAAGCCAATCAGCCTTTCAACCAAAGCTTTTAGCCAAGTCATCAAATTGTTGAAAAAGTAAAGAGAAAGTTGACAAACATGACTAACCCTTCCCCATTCTGTCCAAGTGTTTTCCCTGCTATGCATCACTCCTGTAATCTGAAAGGCGAGATGATCAAGGGACGAGTGTTTTGTACTTGTTAGTGGGTCATGTTTCAGGGTCTGACCATCATTGCATTATTGCTGACGATGCATGTTTGCAAAGCCAAGTTAGAATTTACAAATGCCGCTGACATTTTATTTCATTTGGCTGCTGATGTCTTTTTCCTCATGAACTTGCCTCTTTAGCACTGAGATGTTCAACTCTGGTACTTCAACTCTGGTATAAAGGGTAGTAGCTCTGTGTTTGTCTGCAGTATAACACGTCTTTTTCAGTGCAGGTAAGCACAGGGACAGGTCAGAAATTAAGTAGTATTTGTTTAGTTTGTTCAAATCACTTTGCTGCATTGCAGTGCAGGGAAAACAGTGAAGTTCCTGCCTTATTTATTTATTGCACAGCAACATACATTAAGGAGGCCCGTAAAAAATAATGGTCGTGCATGATCTCAAAAACTGTGTTGGCGCATGTAAAAAATGCAAACAAAGAGAGAACTACTTTATTCACATAGAAAAGACAGTCCTAATACTGGCCATACACACACAAAACAATGTTTTGGCAGTTTCAAAACTTTCAGCCAGCGTGAAATTGCAAAAACTGCCACACATATCAAAGCAACCTGTCAACAACAGTTTGGATTTTAGTTTGATTGTTTCAATAGAAGCAGGCAGGCTTGGAACAGCAGACGGAGGCGTCTGTGTAAGGCCTACATTACAGGGGTTTGGAAAGGCAAAAGGGGTCCTACGAGGGTTAATTTGTCGCTAGGGAGGTTACGATGGGACACTTAAATGATTGATCAGAGGTGCAGAGAGGAGGAGTGTAGGTGGATCTCTGAGGAAAGTTCCAAATGCAGACGGAGTCAGCAGGGTGGAAGCAGCGCCCCACCCTCCTGCACTCTTTGTCTTGTGGTATTTGCTTTTGTTCTATATTTTGCATTGTCTGACTGAATTTTGTTTCGTTCTATTGTTAATGTCGCTGCAATGGGCAGGGTATTGGGGTCCTTGAGGAGCAATCTATGCAGTTGATGTTTAATTAAGAGCGGGGAGCTGTCTCACGTATGGCATCCCTTTTGTTTATGGGTCAGATCGTTAGTCATCTAGTGTCTGCTGTTATACTGCAAAGTCCCTGAGGCGGTGTGGTGCGGCTGGTATGGGTTGGTTAATTGCGGGATGGCCTTCAAGGACCTCAGTTCCCGTTGTCAGTTATTTTTGTAAGGATTTCTTATATGGCTTTATACTTAATAAATTGGCTGCTGTGGCCACTAAAATTCAATACCAGTGTTGTGTCAGTTAATTAGAAGGGGGATTGATATGGAAGTCTTAAAGTGCCTATACCACTTACAACCATCGCACGACTTTCGTTGTGCAATGGTTGTAAGGTAATTAAAACCTTGTACGATCTGCCCATCTTGGACAGGCAGATCGTACTTGCGATCATTGCAAGCCCTCCCTGCTAAGGGCAGGGCTTCCATTGATTCTAATGCTGAGCAGGCAGTGTGTGCTTGCACACACCAGCCCGTTCGGCATTTGTCTTCCGAGCACGCCACTAACCCGCCGAAATTCTTACGATTTTTGGCAGGTTTTCCAGCGTGCTCGGAAGGCAATAGACGTGC